AGTGAACAGTAATGACTTATTTTTCAAGTTCCTTTAATAAACAAAACTATATACAAGGTACCTAATAGGCGTACTATTCAACTTGCTCCTTTTGAATTCTTTACAATGCTACTGCGGTGGGTAATAAATATTCGTCATCGTTCGAACAGATAAGCAATGTGTAATCGTAGCAAAATTCGGTGCGTGCTAAACTTTCTTTAGTTTCTGGGAATCGAACAAAAATGCTCTCCTAACGGAAATGGCTTTCCCTCAATTAAAGTTCGACTTTATATATAGAATTAACTTGGCCCGCTGTCGCGTTACTCATACGTCATATCTCCGTCAATGAATGGGTTAGATAACGGTTACCAGGGATTCGCCATCGCACTTCTGAAGCACACCTGAGCGATCTATTTATACTGTTTCTATTTTAAACCCCACAGATTGGCTGCTGGTGGCCAGTGGATTGTTCCAGGCTGTATTCGCACTGGCCTTCGCCTACTGGGCGGAATTCTACCACCCCATCAAATGGCTGGTGGGAACTCTGATGCTGCAGGCAGTCACCTGCGTGGTGGCTGTGATTCCCTCCATCATGAACTTGTGAGTAATCCGATAAAGCAAACTTGTGTAATAAGTAGGACGAAGGAAAACCAGCAATCACTTTTCAGTCGGAGCAATGCTTAGGGGTTTAATTTACGCTGTTAAGAATAGAAAAACATTTTAAAAATTATAACGTTCCCGAAAGTTTAATAAATTTCTGTATTTACCGGTATAATCGGGGATGTCACAGAAATCTTTCGGGAAAATCTTATGTTGATGCTAACGTACATTTCCCCTGAACTTCGCCCGAAGAATTTAAAGAAACTCAAACGAACATCTTAAGCCATGTTTAAGGGTCAAGTTTCTAGCATAAGCAGTTTAAGTTTAAAATCTTCTGATCTGTTTTATTTACATTTATTTCCAATTCCAAATTAAATCAATATTGTTAGAACCCAAAAGAAGTAAAGGTCTCATACCTTTCAATTAGTGTTGCAATTTTCCAAGTCCAAGAATTGTATTTAAACCTAAACTTATTGATACACAGAGAAGCACTTTATAGGATATGATGAATAATTTGATGAAATTCGGTATCAATTCTATCTAGGTATAGGGCGGCGTATCTTTTTGATATGTTCGCCATACTGTTTTTCGCTCTCTTTTTCTATTCTTGAGAGTTTCAAAAATTGATTTCTCGCCCTTTCCCAGATCAACTTGAAAGCTTTCTCGCCTTTCTTTCTCGTTTTTGATTTGAGAGTTTTTTAAAATAGATAAATTATACTTAACCATGCAAATATTTGTTCCCTGTGTAGAATCATCATGTAGTCCCTTACTTTGCAATAGAATTTGATATCGATTTTCAACGAATAATGAATTTTAATATCCTAATTCCCATTGATTTGTTGCAGTGCCGAGGGCAACAAGGCGAAGGACGTTCTGCTCGATGCCAATCTGTGCGCCACCTCGCTGGCCCAGTTCCAGAAGCTCACACTGACCGAGGCCCAGAGCAGCAGCCTCACCCTCGCGATGCTCTTCGTCCTACAGCTGGCCCTGGGAATGGGTGGCCTGGCCTACTACACACTGGGGGTCAGCTACATCGACGACAACTCCCTCTCGCAGGACAGTCCGGCGGTGATAGCAGCTGCCCTGGCCGCCCGCGTCTTTGGTCAGCAGGCGGGCTCCTTTCTGGTCCTGGCAGTGGGTCTGACACAGGTGGGCTGGTGGCTCGGTTGGGTGATACTGGCTCCCTTCATCTTCGTGGGAGCCCTGCTCCTGGGGCTGTTTCCTAAACGGCTGCCCAAGACGGTTATCCACCAGGCCGCCCAGAGGATCATCGAACAGTCGAACATGCGGCGCTTTGGCAGCCAGTTCTCCACCTACCTGGACGACTCCGATTTCTGGCCATCGCTGAAGAGGCTCTTCAACAACCGTCTGCTGATGGTCAACCTGCTGAGCATCATGTGTGTGCAGAGTGCGGTGGTAAACTATGGCCTGCAAGAGGAGAGCTATCTGCAGAGCAGGTTCTTCCTGCCCTACAACGAGCAGGATGGCCTGACGGCGGAGTGGAGGTCGGCCTTTGTTGCGTACTTCCTCAAGCCGCCGGTGATGGCGGTGGGAATGCTCATTAGTGGCCTGATCATCTCGAAGGCCCAGCTCTCGGCCCGCAAAATCACGGGCATCAACATAGCCCTCAGTGTCCATCTGGTGGCCATCTTCGTGGGCCTGGTCTTTGTCCAGTGCGACGTGGGCGCCATCGCGGGAGTGGAGGGGGGCAAGCTGAAGCAGCCCTACTGCTCCAGCCAGTGCCTGTGCACGCCCACCGCCTTCATGCCCGTCTGCCCGGAGAACAGTGCCGTCACCTACTTCTCGCCCTGCTACGCGGGCTGCACCAAGGAGACCACCATCAACAGCTTCCAGCTATTCGAGGGCTGCAGCTGCAGCGGGGACCAGTCCCTGAACTCCACCGGCCAGATGAGGGCCACCGCGGGAGCCTGCAGCGCCGACAGCTGCCAGACGGCCATCATCATCTTCCAGATCATGAGCATCTCGGTGGCCTTCCTCATGGGCGTGGGTGTGATCGGGAAAACGTTGATCACCCTGAGGGCTGTCCTGCCGCAGGACAAGTCCTTGGCCCTGGCCTTCGAGCTCATGATTGTGGGCCTCTTCGCCTATGTTCCTGTACATCTAAGCTACGATATTGTCACCCGTAAGTGCTGTGTTTCCAAGGGAATTGCATAAAATATCTAACAAATTGTTGCCTAGGTTCCACCTGCGTTTACTGGGCTCCCAACTACGAGCGCTGTCTGCTGCGGGAGACGCCCAAACATGGCAACATCCTGGACATCCTGACAGCCTCCTTGATCCTGTCCAGTGTGCTCTTCGACATCCTCGTTTACATCTTCGCCAAGGGTCTCAATCTGTACAACTGCAAGGTGACGGATAATAACTACACGCCCTCCCTGTACGCTCCTATTCCGCACGAGGATGCGACCACGTCACCCAGTGCTCCCCTTGGAGGAAGTCCAGTGACCATCACCACCACCTCCTCGCCCATGCAACGCCGGGATGCCCCGCAGGAGCACCGGACCGAGACTGCGGTCTTCAGGAATCCCAGTTCGGTGACCACTTCGTCGGGCGGGGCCCAGAGCATCGTGGAGCCCCATGAGGGTGGTGTCACCTATGCGCAGGTTGTCTTCCCGCCAGACAGACGCAAGCCTGATGACGGCAGCACCAGTCCCAAGCGCTTGGCCGTCCCAGCCAATGTTCCATTGCACCTTCTCTCGGAGACGGACGTTCGCAGCCAGCTGGGCAATCTGAAGTCCTTCAATCCTCCCAAGCAGGAGGCTGACCTAGGTCAAGACACAGTGGACATCGACGACGTGGTGCTCACCCAACCGCAAGCGCATGTCCAACCTCAGGTCCAAGCCGTGCTCCCACAGGTCCATCCGCAGGTCAAGGAGGAGAACCCTCCAGCACAACCAAACCACCATTCGCAGCCAGACGATGCCAGGCCACAAAGCCCTGAAACGGACTTCTGAGGGGGCCACACCAAAGTATTCTAACGTGTTTTTATTACATTCCTTAGCTTAAGACCGATCCAATGTGCCAAGACAAATCATTTGAACAAATATAGTTTTCTTTCATTCCATTGTAAAGCCATTCGAGATTAGATAACCGGGAAACTTATTAAGGAAAGCTGACTGAGTTAGGAAGAAAGATTAAGACAGGAGGATGATTATACCCATTACTCGTAGAGTAAAATAGTATATTAGATTCTCCGGAATGTATTTAACAGGTAGAAGGAAGCGTTTTCGACCCTATATATATATATATATATATATCAGGACCACTAGCCGAGTTGATCTGACCACGTCCGTCTGTCCATATGTCCGTATAAACGCTGAGATCTTGGAAACTATAAGACATGTAATGTTGGGATTAAGCATAAAGATTCTTGGGCTTCCTGCAAGTGCCACGCCCATTCTAACGTCCATAACGTGTATAGCACTCACATTTTTGAAGATTTTGCAAAACTGTAAATAATTTTATTATCAACACCCATCTACATGACAAAAATTGTTTAAGTCGGACTATTCATCAAAAGTGTATAAGCAAATAAAGGAATAGACGCTATAGCGTCACCCATTGGTGAAGTGTGCAACCACGGAAACAGCCGAGCTATGTAAGGGGTTTCTGACAGTCCCGGCCATCGACTATACCGTTTTCTCTTGTTTTATTTTAAAATATATTTTTAATGGACCTCATCTTGTACAAATTGAAATGGGTTTCAGATTGATTGAGCATTTATCTGTTTCTGAAAGGAATCCCCTCCAGGACATAATAGTCCGAAAAGGCTCTCTATTGAGGTGCGTTATGATGCGCGCATTGCTCTTCTTTCCATATATCAGGACCACTAGCCGAGTTGATCTGACCACGTCCGTCTGTCCATATGTCCGTATAAACGCTGAGATCTTGGAAACTATAAGACATGTAATGTTGGGATTAAGCATAAAGATTCTTGGGCTTCCTGCAAGTGCCACGCACACTGTAACGTCCATAACGTGTATAGCACTCACATTTTTGAAGATTTTGCAAAACTGTAAATAATTTTATTATCAACACCCATCTACATGACAAAAATTGTTTAAGTCGGACTATTCATCAAAAGTGTATAAGCAAATAAAGGAATAGACGCTATAGCGTCACCCATTGGTGAAGTGTGCAACCACGGAAACAGCCGAGCTATGTAAGGGGTTTCTGACAGTCCCGGCCATCGACTATACCGTTTTCTCTTGTTTTATTTTAAAATATATTTTTAATGGACCTCATCTTGTACAAATTGAAATGGGTTTCAGATTGATTGAGCATTTATCTGTTTCTGAAAGGAATCCCCTCCAGGACATAATAGTCCGAAAAGGCTCTCTATTGAGGTGCGTTATGATGCGCGCATTGCTCTTCTTTCCATGGAGAGCGGCCATTTCAAGTCATTTCTTGATCCCACGGGGTTCTATCATGGATCGCGCCACTCTGGTCATCAGTTTTACAAAGGGATGGTCCACGGACCCCAAGACATTTATCCTCCAGTCGAGTGGCGTCTTCTTCGACGCTGGGCTCCCAGGGCAGAGTTAGAGCTGGCTCCTTCAATCCTCGATCATGAAATTAAGCTCGGCACACTTCATGATGTTGCCTCCCATTTGTACACCCACCGATCTTTTCCAGAAATTCATTTCCGTAGAGGTTAATGCAGTTGGCAAAGTTAGTAAGGGGTCCACAGAGCAGAAAGTCCACTTGTTTAGGATTCCGGCAACCCAGCCTGTACATTGCGTTATGCAGTTGATCCCGCAGCTCACTCACATCCGGATAGACACCCACATCCTTAAAGCCATCAATGCCATGGAAGTGAGAGTTGTCCTTCCATGTACGGGGAACTATCGGATTGGCGCAGCCCCTAAAAACTGGAACCTTTTCGATAAAGTAAATTAAAAATATATAAGAAAACAAGGAAGAACGCTATAGTCGAGTACCTCGACTATCAGATACCCGTTACTCAGCTAAATGGAGATATGCAAGCAGCAAAGCGAGATTAAAATGCGCCACCTACCGGCGGTATACAGATTTAAGCGTTATGGGCGTTAGAGTGGGCGTGGGAAATTTTTTTTTAGATCAATCGATAGGTATTTACGAGACCAATACATTTCAGTTAAAATTTTTTATCTAGCATGAAAATTGTGGGCGTCACAAGTTTTTGCGGTTTGTGGGCGTTAAAGTGGGCGTGGCAAACTTTTTTTTGGGTCAATCGATAGGTATTGATGAGAACATTACATTTCAGCTAAAATTTTTATTCTAGCATCAAAACTGTAGGAGCCACAGTTTTGGGCGGTTTGTGGGCGTTAGAGTGGGCGTGGCACTCTACTGAAATAAACTTGCGCTGCGTAAGAAGCTCAGGAATCTGCACGCCAAATCTCAATAGCCTAGCTCTCATAGTTTCCGAGATCTCAGCGTTCATCCGGACGGACAGACAGACGGACAGACGGACATGGCTAGATCGACTCGGCTAGTGATCCTGATCAAGAATATATATACTTTATGGGGTCGGAAACGCTTCCTTCTGCCTGTTACATACTTTCCGACGAATCTAGTATACCCTTTTACTCTACGAGTAACGGGTATAAAAAGGAAGAACGCTATAGTCGAGTACTTCGACTATCAGATACCCGTTACTCATCTAAAGGGACCAAAGGGAAATGGAGATAGGCAAGCAGCAAAGCGAGTCTGAAATGCGCCACCCTGATCGAAATATATGGTTATGTGGGTGGTAGACAGATTTAACCGTTATGGGCGTTACAGTGGGCGTGGCAAACATTTTTTGGGTCAATCGATAGGTATTGACGAGACTAATACATTTCAGTTAAAATTTTTTATCTATCATGAAAATTGTTGGCGCCACATATTTGGGCGGTAACAAACTTGCGCTGCGCTCAAGGCTACGGAATCAAAATCAGAGATCCCAATATTCCAGGTGTATTAAAAAAGCGTGCGTTCAGAATAAGTCTAGTTTGTTGCATCTGGGTGCATTCCTAGGTGCATATGGATTGCATATGGAAGTGCGTCCAGACTGTGTTACGTGAAGATGCCACTTTAACGTCAACAAAACGCCCACATCTGTGGTGCCCACAATTTTTATGCTAGATGAAAAATTTCAACTGAAATGTATTAGTCTTGTTAATACCTATCGATTAATCCAAAAAAAAGTTTGCCACGCCCACTCTAACGCCCACAAACCGCCTAAGCCTGTGGCGCCCACAATTTTCATGCTAGAAAAAAATCTTAACTGAAATGTATTAGTCTCGTCAAGACCCATCGACTGACCCAAAAACAAGTTTGCCACGCCCACTCTAACGCCCATAACGCCTAAATCTGTCTAACCATACATTGAAATCGCGGGTAGGTGGCGCACTTCTGCTCGCATATCTCCATTTTCCTTTAGTCCCATAAGCTGAGTAACGGTTATCTGATAATTGAGGTACTCGACTATAGGGTTCTTCCTTGTTTTGTTTCATTTCATAGGTATTGAGAAGAGCAATACATTTCAGTTAAAATTTGTATTTTAGCATTAAAACTGCAGGAGCTACTGTTTTCGGGCGGCTTGTGGGCGTGGCACTTTTATGAAACAAACTTGCAATGCGTAGGAATGTCTAGAATCGTAGCTTTTATAGTTTCCGAGATGACAGAGTTAATACGGTCGGACGGACATGGTTAGATCGACTAGGCTAGTGATCCTGATCAAGAATATATATATACTTTTGGAGTCGGAAACACTTCCTTCTACGTTTTACGTACTATGCGTCGATTCTAGAATGCTCTTTTTTCAGTATACCAGTAAAGGGTATAATTACGATTTACATTTTATAAATATCGCTTAGATGCCATTTCGATGGCAGATAACATTAGAACGTTCGGAAAAGTAAAAGCCAAACAACACAAGACGACAAAAAATCCCAAGAACAAGCACTACAAAATCTGAAAGGATTTTTCCTGTAGATTACGAACACAAACTTCAAAACTTTCCATCACGATAAAGTTTCGAAACAATAGAGACGAAAGTACTATATTTTCAATTCGTAGGTATTTTTACGGCTTCCCATCAGTCAAATTATTCGTAGCCAAGATCCAAGTTTTATCTGAAATTGTACTTTAGACCTTAACTTCAACATTGAATAAACCATCTTGATAATGTATCACAATACATTGGACGAAATAAATGTGATTGTTTGTAATTAAGCGGCAAGTAAATTTTACGCGAAGAGTGAATACTAAAAAATGAAGTATACTTTTAGGCGGAGGTGGTGTAAAGTCCCTCACAGAAAATGTAAAAAGATGTTGACAAATGCATAGTCCAACTTAAACTGCTATCTTCAAGTTCTTTAATTGGATTGATACGAAATATGGGTATGGGTTGGCCGACTACTCTAGCTCTAATAGGACTATCTCAGCGGTCGGAACGGAACACAACGATATTTTGAGATATTTGCACGGGGCAGCTTATTGATGTGTGTGACGACGCAGTTCTACGCTGTACGTGTGTCACCAAAGGCTGAGCGGAGCTATTCCATCTGCCCGCTTACTAGTGTTCAGTAGTAGCCAACATGAAGTTGGTACGAAGACATCTACTGGTCCAAGGGGAATTTTTCCGAATTGAGGGTCTCACAAATTGAAATAAATTTGATCCCAGCAAACATTTTTTTGGATCCTCATTCTGAAATTGGAAGTTTATACACCAGATATCTTTCCCTAAAAATAAGTCAAGTCATGATTATTTTGGTTTTCAATATAATTTTATTTTTTCCTTTATTTTAATATAGGTTGTTTGCAGTTATTTTGTTTAGATTTATTTTAATTATTTTTGCGCTTACAAACTAATTAATAAATTAATAGTTAGCTTAAAAAGAGGCTTAAGTCGTAAAACTCAGAGGAAAAAACCTAAACATGAAACGCATGATGATGGTTCATTGAATTGAATAAGAAAATCATAAAAGGGGAATACTTTTAACAGAATTAATGTGGGATCGGGGGATGGCAATAGTCTGTCCGTCCGTCCGTCCGTCTGTCTTATATGTCCTTCCGTTGGTTTTCGCTCCGTAGACTGCTAGTTTTGGGCACTTTAGTTGGAGTATTATTTTTGGTTCTACTTCACATTTTATTCTTCGATCATTTTGGATGGTCGTCACCGATGTGGGACATTCGTTTTTCTTGTATTATCCACGCTAGCCTTAGACAATTTGAGTCTCCGCAGGCTGCATTGTGTGTGGCGTTCTGTCTTTGGGGCAGGATCTTATGCCCTGCCCCCAAATGAGTGAGTGCTCTTGGGCATTACAAAACTTGGCGTCTACGGGGCGGTCAACTTCGGACAGGCACCACTCTGGGAGGCGAGGACCTCTCGAGAGCTTTGCCCTTTTAGTTATTCACACTTCCATCTCTTGGCTGCAGCAGTTCAGCTTCTTTTCATGGTTAATCCTTTGGGTTTGTCGGTCGTAGAGTGCGGGAGGGGAACAAAAATATAATGTGGAAAAATCCTATAACAGATTTCATTTAAACACCGAAGAGTTCTCAAACTAAGGTTAATGCAAAATTATTGACTAAATAATTATAACAAAAATAGGACGAGTTTTTTTTCATCTTACAAATTTAGCTTTTCATCTTGTTGTTTTGCTTGTTTTCATATTCTTTGCATTGGATCTTCAACATCGTGACTTTAGAAGTTTGTTCTCAATTTTCGTTTTAGTTTTACACAATATTTACAGATATATTTGGGTTCTTCGATTTGCAGATAGTTTAAGAGTTTAACAAACAATTTTGATAAGCTTTCATTTTGTTTGGTTGTTGTTCTTTATGTTCTTTTTGAAAAGCTATACATCTTTTTTAATATAGCTTGAGAATATGCTAGAATTACTACAATTTTCTACGTGCTTTGTTATCGCTTTGTTTAATTTGAAACATATTTATATTTATGATGTAGTTAATATTTGCTGTGTTCTTTTTTTACAGTAAAATTACGAATTAAAAGTAAATTATAAAAATAGCAGCTGTCCTTTCTTGTTTCGTTAAATTGTATTTGTATTTATCAATCAATGTTGAATATGTTTGGAAATTTGAATCCTACTTTCCTGTCCTGCGCTTCTCTGGTTCGCTTTTGTTTTTTACAATTTACATCTTATGTCTCTGACTGCACAATGCAAATTATCACATATTTTTCATTTAATTTCCATTCTGTCCTTCTCTTTCTTCTGCATGTTTTTCCCTGGCACTCTATTACACATTATCGATTTGTATATTTTTTCTGCTATTTTTCACCGATGGCCGAAAATTCTACTCTCCTCAAGTATTATTTTGCAGCCAGCTCAGTGAGTGGTTGTGTGTTCTGGGTGTGTTTGTTTATGATTTTCAATTTGTTTTTATTCGTAGCGTTAACAACGTGGAAACAAACGGGTAAACAAAAATAAAAAGTTTAAACAAAATGTGGAAGCGCAGCAGCGCGATGTTAAAAATGACTCCTATACTTTCGCCTCCTGTTAACAGAGGACGTTAACAGCGCCAGCCGCAGTCGCTGTTAGCGTGCAGTCTATCTGTGTGAGTGTGTGTGTGTTTTTTATGGATGTGTGTGTACATGTGTGTGGTCTGTATGTGTGTTAAACAAATATCACAATCGAGAAATTAACAAAACGGCGGCTGCAGCAGCTTCTTAACAGCCAGCAACAACATAACAGTCCTTAACCGCAGGTTAGCCCAACCAACATGGGGTTAACAAGTTGGTGGCGAGTCTGCCGCTGCTGTTGTTGTTGTTGTTTGTGACCTAATACTTTCGCTGCTCTGCTCGGCCCCGTCTCCTCCGGCTAGGAAAGAGACCAGGCTGAGTTTACATTACGGGTTTCATTCTTAAAAAACGTTCATTTTCCCCCACATGCCAGAGCGTGGGCGCTTAAAAAACAAACACTGTGTTTTCGGCCACAGCAGCTTAGGACATGGGACCGTTTGTGGTGGTTACCGCTGCTGCCGCTGCTGCTGAGGTCACCTGCTGCTGCTGCTGCTGCTCCGCCGCTGCCGCCGACTGCTCGACTGCACTGCCGCCGTTCTCGGCGCTGCCGTTGGGAATGATCGTGGGGACCACCGCGGAGGCCGGACTGGTGGCCACGCCCGTGACCGCCACCGTGACCCCTCCAGCGGCCTGCTGCTGACCGGCCTGAACTGCCTGACCCGCGGCAGCCGAGGCAACGGCACTCTGTACCGCCGGTGCCGCCTGAATGGCGGGCGTGGCCGGGGGGGCGGCGATCTGGAGCTGCATTTGCAGCTGCTGCAGCGTCTCCTGCGGGATGTTCGACTTGAGAATGTTGTTCTCCAGCTCCAGCTTGTTGATCTTGTCCATCAGCTCGGAGATGCGCTCCTTCAGCACTTCCACCTCCTCGCGCACCGCTATCATGAGATGCGACTTGACCAGATCCTGAAAGGCGAGAGAAAGTTCTCATTAGTAAGTTGTTAAAATAAAATATCTAAATTAACCTAACTATTGATAATGTTTATATAAAGTATAACTGCCAGTCTATTATTATAGAGGAGATAACAATATTTCATAAGTCAGTTCATTCTACATTAATCATCCCTTTATAAGGCACTATAATCCCCAGTTAATACCCTCCAATTGTAAAGCAAATCTTATCCATCCCTCATATTTACCCCACAGATTAACCGGAACCCTCTGTTAGTTCAGCTCATCTAACATCTCCTGTTGCCACACGTAAATGCGCCTTACATGGTGGCTCTGACTCATTGCAGAGATTTAACATTGCCTACGACATTCAGGCCATTCATAAATCACATTTTGCACCAGCGGCGAATGTTTGCCCAATGTGGCGTGTTCGCGTTGCATATTTCGCTTGTTTGCCGAGCAAAGGTAAATGTAAATGTAAATGGTTCCCCGAAGAATCAAATGCTTTCGTGTCATTGTCAATGCCACCGCCGCAGAACACGTCATCGAGACCCAGACCGAGACCGAAACCGAAACAAAACCGAATCGGCACACAACATCCACGGCTCACCTGGCTGCGAGGCACCTTGTGAAAATTTAATAAACCCATAAAAGAGGCGGCCGATAGGAAAACGCGTGCAGGCGTATAGAATAATCGCATGGGCGTCTGCTCGTTTTTTCCTCTGTGCATTTAGCCGCACGTGTTCAGGTGATTTCTTCCCATGTTTAATGTGAAATGTCAATAGACGAAAAGAGCCCGTGGGTGGGGAAAGGGGGCTCGGTTTGGCTTTGGTTAGGAAAGGCTGCCCGTGGCAGTTCCGTTTCACGAAAGAGTTTTCTTTCTTTCTCGACTCTCCACTGCGATCTCTATAAATAGTCGGCTCGGATGCTTTCGTCGTCTTCACTTTCAACAATTTCTTTCAACATTTTCTTGTTGTTGTGGCCTCGTTTTTTCAGCCAGCCCAAGAAAAAATAAAAGTTGAAAGTAAAAATCTCCCAAAGAAAACGCACAAAATCGGCAAAAGGATATGAAACTGGAAATACTTTAAAAGCGCTTTCCGAAATCCTGTCATCTAAAATCGCTGGCAAGGCAAACCAAAAATGTCCAAAATAAATGTAAATTTTATTCGAGAACTCTGAACCGCGCAAACATTTCGCACGCCTCTTGCCAATTAGTCATACTTCAAATTCTATACGCTATAAAGTGGGTATACAGCTGCGGCAACAAAAATAGCACCAGTGTGTAGGCAATTCTTCTTTGTGCTACAGAATGGTAATTTTTTGCAATATTTTTATTCTGTTTGTAAGGGTAAGTAGGGTTACATATCTATTAACTAAAATAAAAGTGGTTACGCCCACAATGCGGATGGTTTTTAAAATTTCGATACATTTATCAAAAAAGTAGCAAAGTTATGCGGCAACAAAAATAGCACCACTTAAATAAAAAACTTAAAAAACTTAAAAATAACGCGATTTGAAAATTTTTTTTGATTGAAATGTATGATTTCATACGCCTTAAGGTAAAAAAATATTGTTCTAAAGCTTGGGCTGCAACAACAACAACAACAACGACCGACCTTGACGTCACTAGACACCAGAATCTTCCCTTGGCAAAATTGTTGTCTGGCTCTTTCAAAATAGCTCAAGGGCAGTTTTTTTTCTTCGGTTTTGCATTAAAAACATAGTTTTTTAACATTTCTGCAAAGATTTTCGATGTGTTTTAGTTCTGGGGCTTGTAAGGTCCCCATTATACCATTTAGCTTAAGGGTTTTAAAACTTTGTACGACTTCCTGACTGATTTTTTTTGGGTTATAACCGTGGTAAAGCTTCGGAAATAAATTAGTTTTGTATTACGAATAAAATTGCATCACAATTTCTGAGCTATCAAGGTGAACATGTTGATCCTGTATGGGTTTACATTATGATATGGTACCAACATTATAGTACGAGAATATGCCCATACCATTATACTTGCTTCACCATTATTATTCTTTGCAAATGTGAAATGGGGACTCAATTTTGGATATGTAGGTTACCTGATGTGAATTTAAAGTCTTTTTCATCTAAACATGAGCAATTTTCAGCCGCCAGACCATATAAGAGTGTTCCTTTTATTGTGGGCCTTATTTAAGACTCGCCCTTCAAATTCACCCATGCTCTGCAGTCTAGGGAGATTTTTTTTTTGGACGTCAAGCGCATAATTGATTTTTATGTACATTATATCCAACTTTTTATGTACTTACAAATATTTAAAAAAAAAAAGCGACTTGATAGGCGCCTAAAACGGGACCTACTTGCATTCATGCAAATGACTTTTTAACAGTTATGGGGTCATTGCGGCTTTCGTACTGCGTGCTATTCTTTTGTGTTCTTGTTTTAGGTAACTACTAATCATTATTTTAAAGAATTCAACGATTCAACTTAACTTATCTTTTGCATTGCCTTTATAAATTAGCTTTTTAAATGTCCTTCTATCTGTATCATTACAGCGCGCTAAATGACCCATTGGGAACACTATTTTATGCATTATTTTACCAATTCACTTAGTAGTACTTATTCTTAATACAACAAAACGAAAAACAGCCAACAAATCTGAGCAAATGAAGTTTTATACCCAAAAACCGTTAATAGTGCTATTTTTGTTGCCGCATAATTATGCTACTTTTTTCATAAATGTATCGAAGTTTTAAAAACCATTCGCATTACGCCCACAACCATTTTTATTTTAGTTAAACGATATGTAAACCTACTTACCCTTACACACAGAAGAAAAATATTGCAAAAAATGACCATTTTGTACACAAATAAAAATTGCCCACACGTTGGTGCTATTTTTGTTGCCGCAACTGTATATCTGCAGAGCATGAGCATGAGGCATGGAAAGCCATTGGAGAGTCGCATGTTCTGGCAGCAGTGCCAAAAACCATCGTAAGAAATAATATTTTGCACGTTTTTCGCCTGTTTCGAGGCGAGCTAATAAATAATTTTATAAAAATACCGATCTGTATTTTTAGATCCACACACACGGTCCCCCGCTTGACCGATCAATAAGTGCAAAAATAACCAAAATTAGAAGACGCAACGAAAAACAAGATTTGATAAAACTCGTAGCAGACGGCAGTCGAATCGGGGAGCAAAAGCCGAGTTGGAACAACAATAGCAACCGCTTTAAGCAAATGCAAACCGGTTGATACCGCTTCGGCCTGCTAACAATGAGGTGCAAAAAGCACAAAAAATAAGTGAACACCAAATATATGGCATATAAGGGTGAGGCCGGGGGCCGAATCATTAAATTGTTGTTCAAAAACGGGGCAGGTGTGCCACAGTTTATGTTTTTCAACCATTCTTTGGGTCTCTATCGGCTTTTTGCACCATCTGAAAGGGGATTTGAGAAAATCTCCATAGATAGGCATAAGGGTTATCTGCTAAAAAGATAACTCCGGCTCAGGTAAGCGATTTGAATGCTAATTATACACACTCGGGGGAGATACACACACTCTCGGCTGAGAAACAGAGAGAGACCTCTACCCTCTGGAGAAGCGGGCTGGGTTGCCTTCTGGGGTCAGGTCACGCGCTTCTCCAGAGATATCTCTTCTCTCGGGGTCTCCTGCAGTTCTCAGTTTGGTTTTTTCGGTTGCATTTCTCAAACAAACATGGCGGACACCGCACTGAGGTTTTTTTGGTACACTTGTCGGGGGTCCTTAGGTAGAAATAATATGTCTTTGTGCAGAGAACAAAGGACTCGGCTCCTCTTCTTGCTTTTTGTTCAAAGCAGGGGAAGTGGTGTCTCATTTTTTGCACTCAAGTTAGAGTAATGGCACAGCGAAAATAAATTGACAAGTGACAGCACACGAATAACGTTTCTTTTTTTTCTTGGTTGCCTTTGACGACATTGAAAAGTCGCCAGAAAATCGCCACGAAAACGCGCGCAGCCTCACGAAATACGAAAAAATCGATAGAATTGCATCTAGTCAAGGTAAACTGGGGTTTTTCGAAGGGGTTTGCAAGGTATACATACTTTTGCATTGGGCACCATCACATAGCAGGGGCTGTCGTAGCCCTTCTGCCAAATCTCGTAGAGCCAATTCTCTGGCTGGCGCAGCGACATTGTGCCCATCATATTTGGCGTTTTGATTTTTTGGGTTTGAGGGGTTTTTATAAGAATACGATAATTTTTGGTTTCTTTTTTCGGAGACTTTCTGCTCCCACACTCGCACTTTTCAGTTATTGTTTCGGTTTCAGTTGGATCAGATCACAGTTGGGTTGAAAAATGTATTTCTGTATTTTCACTTCTTTTCTTTCTTGCTTTTTCAGGCCTTTTTCGGGCTGTGTTTGTATGGCAAAGTTTAGCTTTTTGTGAGATTTACGAGACCGGCGCAGAGCTTTTGCGATATATTTGAGCTTTTCTCGATTAAAACTACTGCCTTTGGCGATTTGCGTCTGCTTAAAACGAATTAATATAATTCACGAGTCTCTGGTTGGCTTTTCTGTTTTTTAGTTGGTATATATAAGTAATTGTATTTTTTTGTATTTTAGTATAAAAAAACTGGTGCCAATTCTACTTGGCGATGTGGCGTGTTGCGAGTTCAACTGGCGATTGAACGTCTGCGTGCAATTAGTGCGGCTTTTATATAAAATGGCAGTGCCTTTGAGTGGAGAGAGCCAAGCCACATTGAGATACATTGGAAGAGAGCTGCTCGAAACACGAGAGAGCGACCGACGACGTCGATCTCACCCCCGCCAACTGGTGGAGGGTTAAGGTATAGCACCTATAATATTCCCAATTTTTTGGCATTTCTCAAGGAATCCAACCAAAACGCAAGTGTAATCAAACTCTCTGAGAGCGGAGAGAGCTAATGGCGACTCAACGTCTGCGTGCAATTAGTGCGGATTTCATATAAAATGGCAGTGCCTTTGAGTGAAAGAGAGCCGGGCTCTCTCGTTGCGCACTGCGAATCGCGCTCTCTCTGTGGCTG